ACTAAAATTGGTGAAGTAGCAGATAGTGAAGGGGACCGTTGGAGAATGCAGCAGAATATAGATAGATTGGAGAGTTGGGCAGAGAAATGGCAGATGGAGTTCAATCCAGGCAAATGCGAGGTGATGCATTTTGGAAGATCCAATTCAAGAGCGAACTATATGGTAAATGGAAAAGCCCTGGGGAAAATTGATGCACAGAGAGATTTCGGTGTTCAAGTCCGTTGTACCCTGAAGGTGGCAACGCAGGTGGATAGAGTGGTCAAGGAGGCATACGGCATGCTTTCATTCATCGGACGGGGTATTGAGTACAAGAGTTGGCAGGTCATGTTGCAGTTGTATAGGACTTTAGTTCGACTACATTTGGAATACTGTGTACAGTTCTGGTCACCACATTACCAAAAGGATGTGGATGCTTTGGAGAGGGTGCAGAGGAGGTTCACCAGGATGTTGCCTGGTATGGCGGGCGCTAGCTATGAAGTAAGGTTGAGTAGATTAGGATTATTTACATTAAAAAGACGGAGGTTGAGGGCGGACCTGATTGAGGTCTACAAAATCATGAGAGGTATAGACAGGGTGGATAGCAAGAAGCATTTTCCCAGAGTGGGGGACTCAATTACTAGGGGTCACGATTTCAAGGTGAGCGGGGGAAAGTTTAAGGGAGATATGCGTGGAAAGCTCTTTATGCAGACGGTGGTGGGTGCCTGGAACGCGTTGCCAGCGGAGGTGGTAGAGGCAGGCACGATAGCGTCATTTAAGATGTATCTAGACAGATATATGAATGGGCAGGGAGCAGAGGGTTACGGATCCTTGGAAAATAGATGACAGGTTTAGATTGAGGATCTGAATCGGTGCAGGCTTAGAGGGCCGAAGGGCCTGTTCCTGTGCTGTAATTTCTTTGTTCTTTGTACTATTGTAAAAGTAACAGAGTTATGATCACTACCGCCAAAATGCTCTCCTACCAACAGGTCTAACACTTGGCCCGGTTCATTGCCAAGCACCAAATCCAAAGTGGCCTCTCCTCGTGTTGGTCTATCTACATACTGTATCAGGAATCCTTCCTGAAAGCACTGGACAAAATCCGCTCCATCTAAACTATTACAACTAAAACATTTCCAATGAATATTTGGAAAATTGAAGTCACCCATGACGACTTCTGCACCTTTCCAGTATCTGCCTCCCAATCCGCTCCTCCACTTCTCTGCAACTATTAGAGGGTCTATAAAAACCCCCAACAAAGTGACTGCTTCTTTCTTGTTCAATGTACAAATTTACAAATTCAAATCTGTTACCAAAACACACATTCCTTACATTCAATGTGTTTTGTTTTAATGAAAGTGCAGTTCTGATCATAATTGTACATCCATGTAAGATCAGTGTATCATTTTCCAAAGGTGTTTGTTATTGTCCACACAACCGATTTTGGGAGGAAAATTATAGGTCATGGAACTGAACGGCCAGTAGCAATATGGATACAAGACTGGCTGAGAGATAGGATACAGAGAGTAAAGGTTAATTACAATATTCTGGGCTGGAAGCAGGCTTGTGCTGGATCTCCCCAGGGGTTGCTATTGGGACCCTTGCTTTTTCTGACAGATATAAACGATCGAGATATTGGGATGCAGGGGGCAATTTCAAAGTTTAAGGATGTTGTACAGCTCAGGAGAATGGTAAACTCTAAGGAAGACTAGAGGGATTACAACTTGTTTTTGACTGGTGCAGACTTGATGGATCTTTATTGGTGCTACACTCTTGTATATATGCCAGGACAGGAGGTTGCAGATTGTGTTCAATTCTGCTGCTGCTGACCCACAGTGCTTCATGCATGTCCAGTCTTGAGTTGGTTGATCTGTTTGAATTCACTTCCATCTGGCACAATGTGGAGTGTATCCACAATGTGAAAGCGGGGTTTGTCTCCACACGGGATGTGCTGTGGTCACTCCTACCGGTACTATCATGGACTAAAGCATCTGCAATAGCTGCAGGTGAGAATGGGACTACGTATGTTTTACACCACTTGTTGATTTTGGTTTGATTTATTGTAGCCACATGTACCTAGGTACAGTGAAAAGCTTTACTTTGTGAGCAGTACAAGCAGATCTTAGCAAACAAGGACATACAGATCATAGGGCGCTTAGACAGAGCGAGGCATATTAGTTACGGCTGCGTAAGAAGTGCACGAACCAAGATCAACATTATTTGAAGTTAGAGAGGTCCATTCAGCAATCTAATAACAGCAGGGGAAAAAAAAACAGAAGTTGCTGGGAATAACAGGTCTGGCAGCATCTGTGAAGAAAAAATCAGAGTTGACGTTTTAGGTCCGGTGACCCTTCCTCAGAACTTAACAGCAGGGAAGAAGCTGTTCTTGAACCTGTTAGTGCGTGTGTTCAAGCTTCTGTACTTCTGCCTGACCGAAGAGGTTAAGAGAGATCTCTGCCACAAGCCACAGACCCAGTCTAGCAGCTTTGTCCTATTGGACTGGACCAGCTCAGTCAGTAGTGGCCAGGACATGCTTCATGATGGACATTGAAATCCTCTACACAGAATACATTCTGTGCCCTTGCCACCCTCGGTTCCTCCTCCAAATGGCATTTGACATGGAGGATGACTGATTCATCAACTGAGGGGTGGCAGTATATGATAACCAGCAGGAGGTTTTCTTGCCTACGTTTGACCTGGTGCTATGAGACTTCGTGCGGTCTGGAATCACTTAAGGACTTGTGTTGTGCTGTCACCTTTGTCGGCTCTGAACTGGTTGTGGGACAGGACGTTCTCAGGGACGTGGATTATTTTGGCTGCGCCATATTCTGCAAGTACAATCCCATGATAATGTTAAGCAATTGACTAGTCTGTGAGACAGCTATCCCAAATTTGGCACGAGCTTTCAATTGGTGGCAAAAAGGACTTTGCAGGATTGACTGGCCTGTGTTTACCTTTGTCATTTTCAGTGCCTATATTAGTGCCAGGTGATACATTGACTTAATTTTTTTTTGCAGTTTTTAGTGGTTTGATACAACTGAGAGGGCAGTAAAGAGTTAACCATACTGCTGTGGGTCCAGGTAAGGACAGTAGATTTCCTTCCCTGAAGGGCATTAAAGACCAGATGTCTTTCCTTGTTGCAGTAATCATCATGAGAATTGTACCCATATTTTGTTTTGAATTCAAATTCAAATTTGAACCCTGGTCCCCAGTCCATTACCTTGGTGCCCATATTAGTACTCCAGCAACAATAACACCACATATTCACCTCCCCCAAGACTGATCTTCTTTTGCTTCTATTTTGTTTGTACTTATGTTTGTAATGAAGCAAGTGTGTGTTTATAACAATGCCTGTTAGCTCCGTTGTCACCATTACCAAGACTGGCTTTCAGTTGCAGACTTTATTACAGGACTTCCCAAAGTCGGGGTCAGAAATTCAAGTGGTCCAAGGCAGCAGTAGCAAATCCCAACTCTCCTGCTCTCCTGTCTTCTCTACTATCCTCGCCACTACTCAATAAGGGATCATGACAAGTTCCAAATGTCAAAATGGGGCCAGAGTGGTGAAGAGAATGAGAAGTACTACTTTAATTAATCAAATGTAATTGCCATGGTAGAATTTGAGCACTTGTTCCCAGAGCACTTATCTGGCATTTCCAGATTACAAGTCCAGTGACCACGGTGCCATCCACTTTCCCAGGAGTTGCTGAGCTGCAACAGTGCATTTTCTAGACGATACACACTGAACCCACTGTGTGTCAGCAGTGGGGGGAATAAACATAGGGGGTTCTGATCAAGCAGACTACTCCATCTTGGATGCTGTGAAAATTAGCGTTTTTAACTTGATTGTGTGCCTACAAAACTTGTAACCGCACACATCTTCTTTACCATATGGTTTTAACAAGGTCTTAACAAATGCCGCTCTTTTTCTTCTTAGCTTTCCAAATTGTCATTTGGTAGTGCCAAAATTGAGCTTTTCTGAAATAAGACTCATTTTGTTGAAGTTTCCCTCTTGCGCTCATCAGGGCAATTCATAAGAAATACCAGTCTAAAGGGAAAACAACTTACAAGCTGTATGAGCGGACAGTGTTTTACTGGCAAGTAGATTCTAATTGGTAGAGGTATTGTGTGTACAATTCACTGGTTAATGACAACTGATTGTTAACAGCCAAGCTTTGTTTAAACGTTGTAGCCTATGTGCTAATATACACCGCTTCCAGTATGCCCAAGTGCACTGCAATGCAAATCAAACTGACAATCCTAAACTGGTTTTTCAGTGTAATTCTTTGCGCACTCAGAATTATTTAGTCAATATTGCCCTTTTGTGGAACCACATCTACCATTGGACACTGTTGAGAGTTTTACCAATCTTCATTAATGTTTAAAAATCTGAAACTATAAAGTTATTTGCAACCTAACATGGACAAATAGTACATTTGTGTTTTCTTTTGTGTTGGAAGTGATTGGGTTTTTTTCATTAACACAATGAAAATATTATCCCATGTTTCTCACTGTTGTATAGTCCTCCATAGAAGTAAAGGGTTTTTTTTTCAGAGAGGGGAAAGGGAATAGTGGAGAAGGATATGTATAAGAAATACATCATGTCATATGTTTTCAAGAAAAAAAGTGCAGTATCCTTTTTGCCATTTTGTACATCATTCAAGTTGAGTTTTATTTGAGAATGAGTTTTCACTGACCTGTGAGCTCTGAAAGAATGATCATAGCTTTATTCTGTTGTGTGTCAAGCGCAATGTCCCACTGCTGTTTATCTAGGACCATTTCCATTTAAAGTACTGTATTTAATGAATCTATTCCCACAGTTCTTAACTTACTGTAATTGGAGCTGTGACACAGTGATCATTCATTCCCAGCCAGTAGGCAATTACACCAGTCAGGGTACATAAATAAGTTACAGAAAGACAAGGCACCTATAGTCTTTGAAACCAGTATTTCTAGCACATGAAAGACTATTGTGCTTTTATGCATTTTCTAACAGTTTCTTATGACTCTCTCCTATCATTTTGCAGTTCCAACAGTTGATGTTTTCCAGACATCAACAAAGGATCGATTCGGACTGGGACATCAGTTGAAAAAGTAAGACATTTTAGAGAGCAGTGATACCAGCATTTCCATAGCATATTGCACTGTCTGATTCACTGCCTTTCAAAATGAGATGTTAAACCAAGGTCCTATGGCATCATTTCGAAAAAGAGCAAAGCAGTTCCTTTTAGAGTTCTGGTCAATATTTATCCTTCAATCAACATCAGTGAGGCAGATTATTTGGTCATTATTACATTGCTGTTTATGGTTCCATACTATTTGCTGATTGACTAAAGCAATATTTATAGGTTAAAAAGTGCATAATTGACTGCAGTGCACTCGAGACATCCTGAAGTCATGAAAAATGTCACATAAATGTAATTTGTCATTATTGAAAGGTGTTATTTTAATGCAAGTTGTTGTTGGAACGTGTTGTATAAAAACAAATTATTGTTGTTGCTCTGAGATTAATGAGGCAGAAAGCATTATCAGACACTGGTAGTACTGAATTCCAGATGTACCCTGTCTGGCTATAATTAGCAGTTTTTAAATCTATCTATATTGACAGTGTGCATCTGTCAGAGCCATTGGAGAAGATCTGCAGTTCAATGTATGAGTTACAGTTGCAAAACTGTTACAACTGTCACTCCAGAATTTACCCTGCTATGGGCATTTGAGTGATTCCCTAATACTGGCAGTTTTACATAATGTAGAACCGCAAGCAAGATCTCAACTAGCTGAATGCCCATTGGTCGACATGTCCTATAGTACAATTTATTTGTCAAGAGAGACAGTGTTTTCGCTTTGGTCATTCAACACAAATAAGAATACCTGTTCAGTAGCTGATTTTTGAGCTGAGATGAGAATCTGTGGAATGGGAATTTGAATGAATGTGTCCAGATTTCTGGTGAAGCAGTTCACAAGTCTCTGTGAGTGGTGCACATTAGGAGTGAGCCAGCTGAGGCAGAAACTTGGATAAAAGTAAGTTTAAGTAAGCAGATAGAATTACTTACAGTGGATGAATGGATGTGGATACGTGATATTTTAGCTGGGCTATACACACAAATAAATTGCCAAGTTGGAGCATGAATAATGCTTTAATGAGCTGGAACTGAATTGTAGTTCTGAAACTAGAGAGACTAACACATATTTCATTTCCACAACAAATTTGACATTTCCAGTTTATTACTCCTACAGAATAATGCAGACTTTTGTTACACATCAGTGGAAGCAGAACAGCAAAGAGAAGCTCAACTGTCCCCATGGTAAAAAGATTAGTGAGAAGAAAGTGAAATCTCCTCTACACATTTTTTCATCATTGCGCAGGTAATGTGGCAAATTTGAGGAAAGTTCAACTTCACTGATATTAAATGTGCTTTGAGGCCGGACATTGATGTGTCACTTTCTAATCACAAATGTAAAAGTATTGTTGGAAGCTTGAGACAACCAAGTATGGAACTCAAGGCAAGTGCAAACAATCAACATTTCTTGCCTATCAGCCATATATCCAAGTATGATAGAGCAACATTTTGCTAAGGCTTTCTTTGATCAGGTCTCAGTCCCTTGGTATCTGACAGTGTGATGTAGTTCGCAAGGCATGTTCTTGCTTAATTAGAACATTTGTACAGTGAACCCTTTACTCTTTATAATTTAGTGCCCACTCTGTCACTAGGTGATAGCCTCACAAAGCACATTTAAATATCCGTAACCATACCATTATTTATATTAATGATCATAGATACATAAAAAATTACAGCACAGGAGGAAGCTATTAATAGTCATACAGCCTCTCCATGTTGTTTGACTCTTTGGCCCATCAAGTCTGTCCTGGCTTATGTACAGTAATCCCATTTTCCAGCACCTGACCCATAGCTTTGAATGTTATGACATTTCAGCAGCTCATCCATGTACTTGTTGCAAGTTTGTGAAATATCCCACTTCTATTACCAACCCAGGCAACGCATTCCAGATTCCCAGGACCCTCTGTGTGCAAAATTTCAACCCATTATGTCTTTGCTAACTAGAAAAGAACTCCCCAGTCTCATCCTGTTTTTCCAGCTTTTGGTCCATAAACCTGTAGGTTACAAGATCTCAGGCTGTATGTGGTGTGAGGGATGCAGGGAGAACGAATGAAAACCCTGAGTCACCTCTACAACGAGCACCCAATGCTATTTAAACGCAATCAGGCACTTAAGTGGGAAGTGACAGGTTCCCCAAAGAATTAAGTCCCAGTTGGCGGGAAATCCTGAAGTGATGGCTACTGCCTCTGATGTACTGAGGCCTTCAACAGCAATCGCCTCTGAATCCCTGAAGAGAAGTGAGTGAGGCAGGTTGGGAGACATTGGGTGTGGGGTTGCCGGTGATGGATGGGAGAGCGGTCAAGTGCAAAGGCAGTGGGCTGTCTCTTACAGACCACCCTTTCCTGTTGCAGGGTCTCTCAATCAGAGAACTACATGTGCTTTTAAATCTGATAGGTGTATTTTTGCCACCAGCAACTTTCCAGGCAGTGTGCTCCGGACTCTCACCACCCTCTAGATGTAAAATTAATAAATCAATTCCCTCTTATTCTCCCAACTATTTTAAGTTCTGCTTAATGACCTCTCTTATAAGGAAAATTTTCACTCTATCTGGGAACCTCATAGGGCAGAGTGTTATCAGGCTCTGAGTGACATGGGCTATGATAAAATCAATGGTAGAATTGAACGAGAAAGGCAATAAATGCTGGTCTAGCCAGTGATGCCCACAACCAAGTGTGAATAAAAATAACTGTTGTTTAGGGGATCTCTCTCAGGGCTTTAACATTCTTCCTTAAATAAGGTGTCCAGAACTAAACACCATACTCTAAATATGCTCTGACCAATGATTTGTAGAGGTGTAGCATCACTTCCTTGCTTTTGTACTCTACGCCTCTATTTATAAATCCAAGGATCCTATAAACCTTTTTAACAACTGTTCCAACTTGCCTGCCCACCTTTAGAGAATCATGCATGTGAGCCTCTAGGTCCCTCTGCTCATGTACTCCCCTTTAAATTTGTACCATTGAAACTGTATTGTCTATCTGTGTTTCTTCCACCAAAATGCATTACCTCACATTTCTCTTCATTGAAATTCATCTAGCATTGTTCCAACTAATCAATGTCTCCTCTGAAGTTGCTCAGTATCATCCTCACATTCACTATTCTCTCTAGCTTAGTATCATTTTCAAATTTAGAGACTCTGCCTTCAACAATCATCTCCAAATTGTTTATAACTCGGGAAAAGCAAGAGTCCCAACACTAATCCCTGAGAAAGGCCACTTTCAACTCTCTTCAATCTGAGAAATGCCCAACTATACCAATTCCCTGTTTCCGATCCTTTAGCAAACTTAGAATCAATAGTGCCAAGGACCCATCAATCGCAAACATTCCTGATTTGCCAGTCAACCTGCCATGTGATACCATATTAAATGTTTTCTAAAAGTCCAAATATACAACTATCCTCATCTACTGCATGTCAACTCATCAAAGAACTCAATTAAATTTGTCAGACATGACCTGCCCTTGGCAAAGCCATGTTGACTGTCTAGTATTAACTTATTTTTCTCTGTGTATATTTATCTTATCCTGTATGTACTCTCCATCAGTTTTCCCACTTGCTGATAGGTCTATAATTTCCTGATTTATCCTTTGACCCTTTCTTAAACAATGGTGTCACATTTGCAGCCCTCAAGTTCCCCAGCACTAATCCTTTGTTCAGAGAATCCCGGAAAATTTCTATCAATGGCTACACGATTTGTTCCCTTACCTCTCTCAGCAACCTAGGATGTATTCCATCCAGGCCTACCTACCTGAAGTACTGCCAGCCTTTTTAGCACCTCTTCTTTATTTATCACCTGCACTGCTCAACACCCATGTTTTCAACTAGGCCATTGGCACCATCTTCTACTTTTGGTAATGACAGAAACAAAATATTAATTTAGTACCTTTGCCATGTCCTTTGCTTCAGTGAGCATCACACCCTGCTTGCAGAGTTGAGAAGGACATTAACTTTCTTCCAACAGCTGTCTGGAGGAATGCCGTGCCTAAGGCTGCTCTAACTTGCGTGGCAACCTCGGGTGAGGCAGGCATGGTCTGGTGATGTGGCCTCCATGGCCGATCCTGGAGCAAGAGGAAGTCACATCAGTCCAGCAGGTGCTCCAGGACAATGCCAATAAAGTAGGGAGCCAGTACCCCGTGTCTGCCATTTCTGAGACAAATATTAGGAACAGTGCAGGCTGGCTCCAGACTAACAGGGCTTGCCCAGGTGCTCCACAGGCTTTTGAAAATGGTGCCAGAAATGATGCCATTCAATTGCAGGATCTCTGGTGAGTGTTAAGTTGCTCTGGGAACAGTGTGTAGTAAGATTAGGCAGACATTGGACATATGCTTGCCTTAAGGGCTGAAATGCCAATTAAACTTAAGATACAGCAAGAGAACCTGCTTAGTCTTGTAGCAAGAATGACTGGTCTAAACTCAGTGTAACTTGCATTTAGCCAAAAAAAAAGCCACGTAATTCAACCCATAGTTTTATCTTAGTCTCCTCTGTTCCAAACACAACGACCCAGTTTATCCAAACTTTCCTCATTGGCAAAATTCTCTACGCTTGTTAACAACCATAGTCATTGAGTCATCGAATTCCACAGCTCAGAAAAAAAAGGCCTTTTGGCCCATTAAGCCTGTGCTGGTCAAAGACAAGCACCCAATATCCCAATTCCATTTTCCAGCTCTTAGCCTGTAGCCTCGTATGCCTTGGCATCATAGGTGCACATCAAAATATTTCTTAAATGTTACAACGGACTCTCCCACCCCATTCCTCTAACCCTGCATTTCCCATGGCTGATCCACCTTGTCTGCAAATTCGTGGACTCTATGTGCGATTTAGCATGGCCAATCCGACCAACCTGCACATCTTTGGACTATGGCAGGAAACCAGAGCACCAGAGGAAACCCACGCAGACACAAGGAGAGTGTGCAAACTCCACACAGTTTTCTGAGAGTGGAATCAAACCCAGCTAACCACTGAGTCACCGTGCTCTCCACCCAGGCAACATCCTGGTAAATCTCCTTTGCATCCTCTCCAGCACATTCACATCCCTCCTATAATGTGGATTCCAGAAATGCACACAGTTGTAACTACACTCTTCCTGTCACGTGATGATCAGAACTGTATGCTGCATCTTAGCTATGGCTAAATTAGCACTTTAAAGAGTTTCAGCATAACTTCTATGTCTCAGTTAAATTTATCTATTATCATTTTTACAGAATGTGGGAATCTTTGACAATGCCTATTCCTACATTGCCTTGGACAAATAGTGATGCATCATTTTATTTGCACTGTAGTAACCAGAGTTTTGGAGGTTCACCCTCAGTGTGATGCTGGGTGGTCTATCTGATTTTCGTCTTATTAGATATTTTCAGAACAGTTTGATACAGCTGAGTGGCTTGTTAGATCATTTGAGAGCATTGGCACATTGCTATAGGTTTGAAGTCACATGTAGGCCAGATTAGGTAAGGCTAACATATTCCCTTCCAAAAAAAGGACATCATGGTTTTATGACAATCTTCTAGTTTCATGACACCATTGCTTAATACAAATATTTTTATTCCAGATTTCTCTCTTTAACTAAATTTAAATTGCCTGGCTGCCTTGATAATATTTGAATTCACATCCCCAGATCAATAGACCATGCCCCTGGATTGCTAGTGCAGAAACATAACCACTGTGCTACTATTCCACAATAAAGATAAGTATGCCAAATCCAGTTTTTAATTACCTAGCTACCTGTCCTGTTAGCTTCGGGAATAAAATGACATGCACTCAAAGGCTCAGCTATACGTCTAGATTTATCACTGTCCAACCATTGTATTGCCTTGCCTTGTTTAGCCTCCAAAAAAGGCATGACCTAGCACTTCCCCAGATCAAATTCCATTTACCACTTTTCTACCCACCTGACCAATCCACTTATATATCCCTGCAGTATACAGCTTCGTTTATCACTTTCAACCACAACCAATTTTTGTATCATCTGAAAACTTCTTAATTGTGCTTCCAATGTTTGTCTAAATTATCTGCAGATACTATGAAAAGCAAGCACATAATACCGCACATATTGGAATCAGCCTTCCTCTCATTGGACCAATTTTACTGGGTCCAACTGACACTATGCTTTGAATCCCATCAGTTTTCACCTTTGTGACCAGTCTTCTATAGTAGACGTTGTCAAAAGCCTTGCTGAAAATTAATGAAAATTACTTCAACTATCTGACTGTTTTTGGTCTCCCCCTTATTACAGTTCAAAAGATGCCATC